TAATCATGTAAAATATTTCCATATTAGTCATTTTGTACAGGAAGACTCAAACAAAAAAAAAGACAGAATGAAAGAAAGAAAGAAAGAAAAAGAAAGTGAAAAATAGTATGGTTCTGTCTATATTCAGACAATATTAGTTCTTTATCTAGAGGTAGATAGCAACAAACATTTTTTACAAGCATTTTATGCCAAACACTGTGCTAGAAGCTGGAAAAGACATGAACTTGAGAAAAGAAAAAGTTCAAGCTTTCAAAGAATTTACAGTTTACTATATATATGGCGAAGACAAAACACTGCATACATATACGGTAAAGAATTATCACACAAAGTGAAATATGCCTTTCAAAGGGATCAGAGAAGAAGTGGTAGGTAGGAAGTGATTTGGAAAGAAAGCATTTTGAACTCATTCAGCACTGATGAAACATAGGAACCCCTCTCCCACGTCATTTAAGTTCCCCACGGTGAATCACAGTGGTAAGGTCACTTAGGACTGCCTTTTGAACACTAACTAACCAATCCCCCTGTGGGTCAGCAGACTAAATGGTTCATTGCTCAATATCAGTCTAAGTCAATTGACCTTTGTAACCAGATCTGATGGTAGGTCAGCTTTGGAAGAAAAAAATAAGATTTAAAGAAGATGATTTGAGTTCAGACAGATAGGCTAAATTTTTAGTTTGATTACAAAGAGCCATGCAAAGAGACACTGTTTATAAAGGAAAATAAAGCATCACTACTTTTAAAAAAGTACAAACATATTCTTCTCTTAGCTCCCCTACACCCTCTTACCTTGATGACATTGTACAGGAAAAAGATTGCAGATGTGGGTTTGAAGGGAACAATCTGGTTCAACATCCTCATTTCATAGATGAGGAATTTGAGGTTGAGAGGTAAAGTACAATGCGTAGGATTACATAGCAGCAAGATTTGAACTCGGATCTTCCTAACTCCAAGTCTGTTATTCTATTCACTCTGTCACAGTAGCCCCAGGACCTGATCATCTAGAGGTCTGGCTAGTAAAACTGTGTGAAGATTCTTAGATGCTTTGATGGGCCTTTGAATTAGATTTTAGGGAAACACTAAAAATAGACTATGATTCTGCCACAAGGGGACCTCACCTGGGGTTCTGAGAGAGTTGATTCACATCTTTAAACAAAGCAGCTCCTTTCCTGTATCAATTAAGCATTAAAAACAGCAGAAAAATGGAGGGAGAATGAACAAATTCACATTGGCTGCCAAGGAGGGTAGGAAAAGTAACAAACAAGTCTCTCCAGTTTCCTCCTTTCAGCCTCCTGGCTACCTTCCTTACTTGAAAGGGTTAGCATCTAAAGCAAATAGGATACAGACCTTCACACAGTTATGGGCCCTGGCAGAGGGCTCTGGGTTTGGACACACTTCAGCCCACAAATATTTTTCCTTAGTCAGTGA